CAAACGAAAAAAGAACAAATGGCAAAACGAAAACAAGTCGCAAAAAAAACAAAGAACAAGTGGCAAAGAAACATCCTCTTGTTGGGACACATTTGATAAAGTTATGATAAAAGAGGATGATGGTATCGAAAGAAGATATGGAAAATGGCATTGGTGTGAAAGGCTACTAAAGGCGGATGTGGAAAGAAACGGGACTTCTAGTTTACTCAAACACGTAGGTAGGTGTCAAAAAAACCCGGATAAGCTACAAGATCCAACTCAAACCAAATTGAATCTAAAGAAGGAGTCAAATGGGGATACTAGTGTTAAAACATGGAAACACGATGATGCAATGATCAAAAAAGCATTACTTAACCTTTTTGTGGTAGGCGAACTACCTTTCAAGTTCGTTGAAAGCGAGGCTTTTGTGGAATACACCAATGCACTTAATGCTAAGGTCGTGTTGCCATCTAGACATACAATATCCCGGAATGTTTCCAAATTTTACATAGAAGAAAGAACCAAAATGCTTCAATTTTTAAGTAACCCAAAGACCGCTATACATTTGACAACGGACACTTGGACGTCTTCTTGTCAAAGGACTACTTACATGGTGGTCACGGCTCACTTCATAGACGAGAATTGGATGATGCACAAGAGAATTATAAACTTTAGGGAGATAGATAGCCATAAGGGAGAGGATATGGGCCGAGAATTACTCGATTGTATTCGTGGATGGGGAATGAAAAATGTCATGACCATTACCTTGGACAACGCCGCTACAAACGACAAGGCAATTGACTTTTTGGTCAAAAAGTTGTCCAATCTTTACGAGGGTGGAAAGCATTTCCAAGTTAGGTGTATGGCCCACATTTTAAACCTTATCGTAAAGGATGGACTAAAATACCAAAACTATCATGTTGAGTGTATCCAAAAGGCGGTACGGTACATTAGATTGTCACCACAAAGAATAAACAAGTTTAAGAAGGCGATGAAAGATTGTGGCTTACAAACGAAGAAGTTTCTATGTGGTGACACTCCTACCCGATGGAACTCGACTTTCGAGTTATTGAAGTCCGCATATCAGTTACGAGAGGCATTTACGGAATTTGGCATAAGAGGTAATATTTATTTTTAAGTTATATTTCAGCTTTTCAGCAAGATTATTAAGATTTTGTAATCTGTGACGTTTTTTAAACACACATAACTCATTCGTTTTAAGTCGGATTGACCTCCGGTTTTTTCCAACATTTAGTTTACAGTTTGTAGATGAATTTAGACTATAATTTTGTTTATTTTGGTATTATATTCACTGAGTTACAATCATTCAAAGTAGAGCTATCAAAGCTGAAAAAATTCAGCTTTTCAGCAAGATGTTGTAATCTGTGATGTTTTTTAAACACTCATAACTCATTCGTTTTAAGTCGGATTGACCTCCGGTTTTTTCCAACATTTAGTTTACAGTTTGTAGATGAATTTAGACTATAATTGTGTTTATTTTGGTATTATATTCACTGAGTTACAATCATTCAAAGTAGAGCTATCAAAGCTGAAAAAATTCAGATTTTCAGTAAGATTTTGTAATCTGTGATGTTTTTTAAACACTCATAACTCATTCGTTTAAAGTTGGATTGACCTCCGGTTTTTTCCAACATTTAGTTTACAGTTTGTAGATGAATTTAGACTATAATTTTGTTTAATTTGGTATTATATTCACTGAGTTACAATCTTTCAAAGAGAGCTATCAAAGCTGAAATATTTGTTTGTTTAGACTATAATTTTGTTTAATTTTGTTTGTTTATGTATCTTTAACAGATAAATCATATGAAAGGGATCTCGATAGAGTACCGGAAAATTATGACTTTGAAGTTGTAACCGAAATGGTGAAATTCTTTGAAAAATTCAAAACAAAAACAGAGCTTGTTTCGGCTACATCAAAACATTTGTTAAATCTTTTTATCCGGGAAGTCTTAGATGTGGACATACATCTAAGAAAGTGGTCAACCAAACCAATGTTTCTCGATATGGTAAAAGATATGAAGACAAAATACGACAAGTATTGGGGTGCATACAACAAGATGAACGATTTTATGTACTTTGCGGTTTTACTTGATCCTACCACCAAATCACCTTTTTTGTTACATGCTTTTAAAAAAATGACCGGGTACATGGAACCGTCATTGACCCCCGCGGGCATAGACATAAAAGCACGTCAAATGGTCCTAGAGGTTGAGAATAGGATGGATAATTTATTTATGACCTACTTGGAACGATTTGACAACGGTGGATCATCTCAACAAGAAGCTAGTCAGATAGTCATTGATGTTGATGATGATAACGATTTTTTTGGTGATTTTCTTTGTACGGGAGGTAGCAACTCGGATCCAACGGATAACGAGTTACAAACTTATTTGAAAGAGAATATAGTTAATTATAAAAAGATTTCTCAATTCTCGGGTGGTGGAGAGTAAACGCGATTAGGTTCCCAACAATTGCTCGGATGGCGAAAGGTGATTACTTTTTTTTAGTCTTTCATAATTTCTTTATAAATTAATGTTGTTACAATTTAATTCTTTGTTGTTAGACATATTGGCGATACAAATCTCAAGTGTAGCGTCCGAGTCCGTGTTTAGCACATGTAGTAGAGTTGTAAGTGAGTATCGGACTAGTTTATCGACGTTGATAGTTGAAGCTTTGTTATGCACCCAAGATTGGGTGAGAAAGTCTACAAATCCGATAATTGACAACGTTGATGACATCTTGAACGATGATGATATAGCTTTGGGTAAAAAAATTACAAGCTTTGTTCTTTTTTATATACAATTATTACTTGGGAAATCTTCAGAAAAGTCCTAATATTTTCAGAAAAGTTACACTTTAGTCCCAAGATTTTTTTTTTAAACGAAAAAGTCCTGAAAACCGGCAAAAATTTGCAGTTTGACCATTTTTGACCGGTTGAAACCGGTACCAAATTAATTTGGGACTACTTAGTAAACTAACCCAAAATATTGGGACTTTTCTGTAAACAAAAAATATTAGGATTTTTCTGTAAACAAAAATATTAGTACTTTTCTACAAACAAAATCCTTATATTAGTTATTATTATTATTAAAAAATAAATAAGAATACTATTTTGTGAACTTGTTATTATTAATATTGTTACTAATACACATAAATGCATTTAAATAAAAAAATAATATTAATGACATTGTTTAATATTTTATTAAACAAGATATTGTAATTAATACTTTTGAATTTTGATATGGGTTACCTATGTAGATGTTTGTAGTGGATTTGTTGGATTTGGAAAGTAATTCTTCTACCTTAAACAATTTTATATACAAAGTGAGAAACCCTTCTACCTTAAGCTATTTATAAACAATTTTACAAATATACAACTTCTTTTAAATTGTTAAGTATTAATATTCTGAATTGAAAACAATAATAACAAATGTGAAATGACCATATCCAAGTAAAAATATACAAGCATACATTCACGATTTCAATGCTAAAAACATCATCATCTCCTCCACCTCCACCATTAAATAATGTCATTAATATTATTTTTTCATTTAAATGCATTTATATGTATTAATAACAATATTAATAATAACAAGTTCAAAAAATAGAATTCTTATTTATATAATAATAATAATAATAATAATAGTAATAATAATAATAAGGGTTTTGTTTGTAGAAACGTCCTAATATTTTCGTTTACAGAAAAATCCTAATATTTTTTGTTTACAGCAAAGTCCCTATATTTTGGGTTAGTTTACGAAATAGTCCCAAATTAATTTGGTACCGGTTTCAACCGGTCAAAAAGGGTCAAACTGCAAATTTTTGCCGGTTTTCAGGACTTTTTCGTTCAAAAAAAAATCTTGGGAGTAAAATGTAACTTTTCCGAAAATATTGGGACTTTTCTGAAGATTCAACATTTTCATTTGTGTTTATGTAGAGATTGCACAAGCTTTAAATATGTTACATATTGATGACAATGATATGGGGAAGAGGCCAATGGAAGATTAGATTATGAGTTTATGAAGTTTGTTAGTTTGATTGATTTTAAAGTTTAAACTATGATTTTTGTTGTTACAGTAATACTTTTGTGTGTTTGTCTTAAAATTGTTAACTTTTGTTGGTGAACTTGATTTATATGTTAGTTGCTTTTATTTGGAAAATTAAGTTTGCAAGTTATAATATTATACATCAATGTAGATTAGTTATGCATGAAACGGAAACATTAATTTTGCAAGTTATAATATTATACATCAATGTAGATTACTTATACTCTATGCAGTTAAAGTTGTACCGGTCCAAACGTGTCCAAAAACCGGAAAACCCGGACCTGGACCCGGACACGGACACGACTCATCCGGTCCGGTCCATGGTCCACAATATTCTCCATAACCGGTCCGGCCCAAGAGCCGGTCCGGTCCGGTCCAAATGCTCACCCCTAGTTTCGACATAAACGGTTCGACCGCGGTTTAGGGGAAACCCAGCCGGTTCGATCCAGTCCGTATTTTTACAAAAAACCGCTCTCAATTGACCCACCTTCTACCCCGGGTCACGGTCCAACCGGTTGAACCGGCCGGGTCGACCCGGGTTTTAAAACATTGGTGGAGAGGATTGAAATGAGGACCTACCTTATATTAAGATGGTCAAAAGTCAAAGGCAAACCCAAAGACCAACCTACTTTTTTAAATTTTATTTATAATTTATATATAAAAAAAATCAAATCTATATTGAAAAAAAAATAGGACCTTTCTTATTTGTAATTTGTACTACTAGCTTATAGTCATTTCATAGTTGATTTAGGTGAATAAGTTGTAAGCATTTGAAAGATAAGAAACATGCGAATTTTCAAAAACTCATTTTTGAGTGTTTTGAAAAGCTATTTCTAAAATCACTTATCCAATTGCAAACACTTTTTTAGACTTTTTAACTTTTTAAAAAGTCAAAAGTCAATAAGCCCCTTTCATAAGCAATCTCAAACACCCCTTCAATCCCCTTTTTTAATAGGTCAAATTATTACATTAACCCTATAACAAGATAGGGGGGCATAGAAGTACACTAGTAAGTTTAATCCAAAAAACATCCTCATGATCAAACACTGCTCAAAGTACAAATAATGGTCTAAAAGCAAACCTTTACAAACAGCTACATATACCATAATCAAATAAAGAAAAAAAAAACAAATGATATACTTCTCAATTCTCATTCTGAATGGCAAATAACTATGTGACACATCATACTAAAATTTACCTCAGTTCCAAAGAAGAGCCAACAGAAAAAGAAGACCAATTATCAGAATTGGTGAAGCTGCAGAAAAACCTGTTTCATGGTGATGACCTCTCTGCTGATGGCCACCATGTGCATGATGATGATGATGATGATGATGATTGCCGCCATAGTTAAAACCATGAACACCACCACCACCACCATTTCCATACATCTGAGGACCAGTAAAAGCATGCATTTGAACATTAAAGAAAGATGGAATCAACCCACCAAATGAGAAAGTAAAATTCCCAAAACTTGCAGTCATTGCAGGCCCAAAACCACCCATTAATCCAAATCCATGTTGGGGGAATGCGTTTCTGTCTGGTGGAGGGGCGGTTTCCGGTCGCTGACCTGGCGGCCGATGTGGAATCTCGACACCTGGAACTGATTTTGATCTTGGGTCTGTTGAGTTTTTGCCTCTTCCATATAAAGGTACTAACTTTTCTTCTTGAATTAGGGCTTTACAAACTGGGCATTCTTGTGAATGTGAATGAATGTGAAGCCATTTGTAAAGGCATGGCCAGCAAAAGAGGTGACCCATAAAGTCACGATTGGATCTTGAGCTAAATCAAAGCATATGTTGCATTCAAAGTTTCCTGGATCGCCATTGTTGGAATTGTTAGGGTTTGAACAAGATGGGGATTGGGGTGACCTGTTTGGCACTTCCCCAAACCCAGCAGACATCTCTCTCAGAACAAATGCTCAATTTCCTGTAGTAATCCCACCAATTAATTATCAAACTTCAAACCAAAAAGCAAGAAGAAAGCTAAACAAAATATCCTAAAAACTCATGAAATTTTAATGGTAACATAGACTTGCAGACAACCAAATCGAAGTAGCTAAACTTTTTTACATCGTCCATCCAACAATTGCAACGATAAATCAAAATCCCGCTGATTAAACTACATGAAAAAGTAAAACCCTAAAGTACAACAAGCATCAATCAAACAAAACTTGGACCTTCTAGGGTTTCAGGAGCAGAAAATTCAATCAAAAATGGTTCATTACTTAATATGAATTCGGAAAAACTAAACAAGAAGGTGAATTTATGATAAATTGGTTCGATTCGTGGAAGAAACAAGTCAACAACACAAACATCAATCAAGATCAGGAAAAGATCATAAGACTACAGAGGATCGGGGAAATAACTCACCGTATAGATCTTCGGAGAAATACAGCGACCGGCGAACGCGATGCACCCTGTAATCAATATTCGTTGCTTGAGGTGTAGAATCGGAGGAAGATTCCAAGTTGCATGCGATGATTGTTAAAGACTTCGTTCCTATTTAGCATTTTAAAATCGTTGAATCTGATAGAGTTTGGTTTGTTGAAATCTCTGGAAGATTCTTGTGTCATGCAATGTTCGCTGCAGTGCTTAGCTACTGGATCGGCCTATCTGTTTTTGGATTTGGGCTTAATCCAACTACAATTAATAAATATTCTCATTTGATTTTTAATAAATAGAGATTAATGTCATAAAATAAAAAACTGGAATAATCACACACAAAAAAAAAGGCCACGTAATTTCGGAAAGTATTGAAAATTGACTTGTTTTTTTTCGTATTTATCAATTTGAACGTTGTTTGACAAAACTAGTTGGATAACGAATAGTTGGTAGCTGAAAGTTGTAGCTTTTATTTGTTATATGAGTATTAGGTAAAAATAGTTGAAAGCTTTTAAAATATATAAAATTACATAAAATGACAAATTGTTTAAAAATGATAACTATATGAAATTATAAATATATATTTAAGGGCATGTATGTAAATTGATTCTAAAAGCTTATGAGTTTTTTCTTAAACACTATAATTATCTTTTAGATTTGGAACGTTTTATTTAAACTGAAAGTTAAAACTCCGTACTGCCAAACAAAGTTTTTTATATAAATCGAACGTTTTTTCAAAACTTAAAAGCTAGAAGATCCCAAACATTTTTTGTCAAACAATCCTTTAACTACCATTTTTTAAATCAGATATTTTGGATTAAATTAGTTTTGCTTGGGATAGATTTGTGGCGCGTCATGTAATACTTGCATTTGTGGTCTAGATGTTTTATGAGAGCTATTTTGAAAAAATAAATCAAATTGAAATAAATAAATAATACAAATAAATGAAATAAATAATACAAGGTTTTTGTAGAAAATAAAAAAGAAGTTGAGGTTTAATTCATAAAAAAACCCAACATATAGGGTATTTTATGTTATTAACTTTTTTACAAAATGAAAGAATCAAATATATGAAATAAGAGGGCATGCATATGTCTAAATTCGTATACTTCAAATATAATAGTTATTTGATTAGTGAACATACTTTAGACTTTAATAACTAATAATATTTCCAGGGTATTGTTAAGTTATGGCTTAATTGGTGTGATATGTTTCCATGCATTGCTTCTTGTTTCTTTAACAAACATCCACTAATTCTTTTGCCAATTTCAAGGAAAGCATGTATATCGTGAGTCTACTTTCATCTATTTAACAGCAAATGCACCTTTATTACATGACCAAGAGTTCCAAAAAAAATGGATGCGTGTAAGACTTCAAACTCAGACTCCGATGGTGGATTAAAGAACTACCCTTTGACTTTTCAAAGGGCCATAAGGGGTCTGGTATTCTTGGTGGTTTATCTTTCGACTGCCTTTGTATTTATAGTTTTTTTAGGCACTCCTGCCTCAGTTTTGCCCCGATTTTTCAGCATACATTATAGCAGAAAGGCATTGTCTTTCGTTTATGGGATTTGGCTATCTTTATGGCCATTCTTATTTGAAAAGATCAACAAAACTAAAGTTGTTTTCTCTGGAGAAACTGTTCCAGAAAAGGAACGTGTTCTTCTTATTGCTAACCACAAAACGGAAGTTGACTGGATGTATCTTTGGGATCTTGCCTTGAGAAAGGGATCCATAAGTTGCATCAGATATGTACTTAAAAGCAGCTTGATGAAATTACCTTTATTTGGTTGGGTATTTCATATTTTGGAATTTATTTCAGTTGAAAGAAAATGGAAAGTTGATGAAAGTAACATGCAAAAGATGTTGTCAACTTTTACAAATCATTCAGATCCATTGTGGCTTGCTGTTTTTCCCGAAGGAACTGATTTCACGTAATGCATATATATTAGATATCCTTTTTGTTTTTTTTTATTTTATTGCATAGTTTAAAGCATGTAAAGTTATATTTTATATGTATTTGAATTACTATGTTTTCTATTTGATAAACAGAGAGCAAAAATGCATAAAAAGCCAAAAATTTGCTGCTGAAAATGGGCTGCCTATTCTCAAGAATGTGTTGCTTCCTAAAACAAGAGGTTTTCATGCTTGTTTGGAAATCTTGAGGGGATCTTTGGATGCAGGTTCTACATTTTCTATTACTTTTATAAAATATCTTATAAATATCTCATAATGTCCATAATTTATATCATCAAAGCTTATTATTCATTTGGTTAGCTCTAACATATCTTCCAAATTGTGACCTTTTCCCAATTGGCAAATAAAATTTTAACCTTTCTCTTGCAAATAATATATATATATATATATATATATATATATATATATATATATATATATATATATATATATATATATATGTGTGTGTGTGTGTGTGTGTTTTCTGCTGTGTTCTCACACTCCCATTATGATTTCAGTATACGACTTGACAATAGCATACAAAAACCGGTGTCCTACCTTCTTGGACAATGTTTTTGGAATAGAACCGTCTGAAGTTCATATCCATGTGCGACGCATCCCCTTGGACGATATCCCGACTTCACAAAATGAGGCCAATGCATGGCTATTACAGTCATTTCAACTCAAAGACCAATTACTATCCGATTTCATTACACGTGGTCATTTTGAAAATGAAGGAACAGAACAAGAGCTCTCAACAATAAAATGTGTGATAAATTGCATAATAGTTATAGGGACTACTTATTTATTTACATATCTTACATTTTTCTCATCTGTTTGGTTCAAAATATACATTGGTGTAACTTGTGCATACCTTACTTTTGCTACGACTTCTGGTTTTCATCCTTCTCCGGTTATTGAATATGTGAAATTGTTTGTGTATGGAAAAAAGTTGATTTAAGGAAATTCAACAATTAAGTTTTTACATGTTGAAACTTATATATTGTTTTTGGTTGTTTAGTTGATTCGATTTTTATAGCTCTTTTTTATTGGATAGTGATTCGTACAAAATATTTTTTTTTCAGTACACAACAATTTATGTTTTATAGAGTTGTACAATACAATATTTTAAAACATGTATTGTTATGTATGGAGAAAAATTGTTGTGTACGAATCAATTTTTTTTTATTTGTGGGTTTTAAATCTTTTAAATTATAGAAATTAAATGTATTACATAAGACTTCTAATGAAATATGTAATCTTGATTTGATTAAAATTGACAGCTTATTGAGATCGAAATAGTCAAAAGAAACACATTTCGTGTTTTCGAACACAACCCACCTAGCTAGTTGGAAAGCTTTCCTCCTAATCGCCGGACTATATTATAACAAAAAAAGTCAAAGCCTTATATAAATCGTTTTTACTAGAATCATCAATGAACACTTACAAAGGAACAATTTCATTCGTAAAAAAATACAAAGATGATTTTCATCATCAAGATATCTACTATGCACACCATTTTTTGGGAATTAACTTAATACATAAAAAAAATATTGACTTTTTTATTATCACCTACAGGTCATTTTCCCATCTTTATGGACCATTTTTATATTATATT